CCAGGCAGCAAGGCATATATTTTTTAATAGTCTATGTAAGCAACTCTTATTCTTGTTGTGTTCATACAAATAATCAGGCCAAATTATAACTAGATTTAATACAGTGAGTAAATTAGTCTTTAATAAAAATTTTAGGGAGAACAATTGTTTCAACAGGAGATTATTAGAAACTGTTCTAACTTTTGCCTAATAATACTAAATTTTATAACACAGTTTGTCTCCACCAGATTACAAGCCCTACTTACACCTAGGCAATACCACCTCTAGGCACCATTGCCACCTCCTTCTATGTCCAGTCCTCATCATCCCTCTGACAGAGAGCAAGGATCTCTTGGCTCTGAGAGAAACCTCTGACCTGCCTCAGTAGGAAATAATTATAGAAGAAACCCAGCGTCCTCTTTTCCTAAAAAAATTCAGAGCCAAGATCCTAGAGGGGGATGTAGTAGGCAGTTAGACATGAGCAGAGCATGGACGATAGGCCAACTAGAGGAGAGAGAGACTCTGAGACATACTTCTTACCACTCCACCTGGTCTGAAGCTGGGAATAGAGGAACCTGTGTAGAACTAACCTTTAATCAAAACTAATTAGAAGGAATTTATAGTTTTCATGTAATAGAAGGTATAGAAATAAAGGGGAAAAAGGCAAAGTAGATAAACTAAAAGGGTATGTGTAAGTTACAAAAGGATGTGTATAAGCTACAGAAGGTATATATAAATTGCAGAAGGTATGTGTAAGTTGTAAAAGGAATGTATAAGTTACAAAGGGTCTGTACAAGTAAAAAAGAACTAAAGTTGAGGAAGTAAAAATTGTAAGAAGGGATATAAAGAAAGGAATATGACAGGAAGAAAGGAAATTAGAGTAGAAATAATTTGTGAAAGTTATGTGTTTATTATGAAAGTTATAAGAATGTTTATAAAGGTCATAGAATGTTTATAAAGAGAAATCTTAAAAGGAATTATAAATATACTGAATAATAAATCTAATAGAGCACCTAAATTAATCTGAAAAGTAATCATATTATTTTAAATCTTACAACACATATTCTTATATGTGAATAGGAGGTTAAGTTTCTCTTATTTGTAAATAGGCAGTTAAGTTTTCCTTTCAAGGCCTGTGCGAAGTAATTAGGGAGATGACTCAGCTGTGAATCCTGCAATCAGAACCGATAAACATAGACCGACACACCTGGAGTCAACATCATCTTGTCAACATCATTGCTTGACAATAGCTGATGTCTACAGACCCCAGGCCTGCACATAGCTACATTCCTCATCCTAGCCCCTTCCTCTGTATGATCCTGTCCCTACACCTTGCTAGAAGGCAAAATTTAATGCTTGTAAGCACCCTGTCTTCTTAATTAGACTAACCCTTGTTGTCATTGTAATTCTCTTTGTTTTTCTTATAGTCTACAAAATCAGAACTCGAGCAGGGAACACACTTCACAGACCCCGACCTTCCAAAGCAGAAAGTTCACCGCCTCCCTCTGTCTTCTGCAGCCAGCAAAACAAAAAGGGGGAAGATGTGGGGAAGCGCAGGACTTGGTTGGAAAGTCTGTAAGGAGGATGCTCCGAAAGGTCAGGGGCCTCTGAGGGGACCTTGCCGAAGGTGGCAGGCCCTTTCTTGACTTTTCCAAACAAGTCTGACCCCCGGGTGTTTTACTGGAATCTTTGTTTAGTCTTGCTTAAAGGACGCATGTGCTTTCTCAAGGATGCTTACCCTGCTGATTGTGTCTAAAGGTTAATTTTAGTTCAAGCTGTTATGACAATAAAAGCCAAAGGAGGCTACTTGGTGGTGGTAGCCAAGTAGTGCCTTAGCCTCTCTTTCACAGAAATACGTGTCAGAGCAATCTGTTCATCGTCGTTTAGGGTCTGTCAGTCAGCCCTGGCAATTGACCTTTTCAACTATTTAAATAACCACTGTGTACCATGAACAAAAGAAAATCTATAAAAGTAGAGGCCCAGCGCTCGATTGATATCTCGCAAGGAGGCGCCCCGCCTCCTGCCCTGTGAGAAGGCACCCCGTGGGGGGCCAGGACCTATGCCTGACCCATGTAGCACTGGCCGGCTGCAGCATTGTGTCCGCTGGGGTGGGGGCAGGCCCTCCTGTGTGTTGTGTCTCCACTCTGGCCTGCCCCAGCCTCCCCGCGGCCGCTGGGGTGGGTGCAGCATGCAGTCCCCTCCTGCCCATCTGCGCGCGCAGCTCCTCCTGAGCAGTTGTGATGCAGCTTCTTTTGAGCGGTCATTATGCTCGGATAATTAGCATCAATAAGGAAACACAAATACATACCTACCTCTGCTTCTGGCACCACAACTTTTCCCCAAAGAAAGATGCTCCAGCAGTTTAGAACAAAATCTTAATTAAACAAAGTCACTTTTTTTAGTGTTTAGATTCATCAGATAATTGCTCAATTATCCACTTTGTTTTGCCTGTGTAGATATCCTGGTTCAAGCCCATTAACCAACTAATGTACACCAAAGATGAGAAAATTAGGAGATTGTGCCTATGTTGATATTTCTGTTCTCAGCTCAATGGTTTGTCTTTATCCCTGATGTGTGCTGTCCTCATTAAGAGTTACCAAATCAGCCCTAGCCAGTTGCTCAGTGGATAGAGCATTGGCCTTCCTACTGAAGGGTCCCGGTTTGATTCCAGTCAAGGACACATACCTGGGTTGTGGGCTTCATCCCCATTGGGGATGTGTAGGAGGCAGCCAATCAATGATTCTCTTTCATCACTGATGTTTCTATCTCTCTCCCTCTCTCTTCCTCTCTTTCTATATATCAATAAAAACATATTAAAAAGACTTACCAATTATGCTAAGTGAAATAAGCCAGTCAATGAAAGAAAAATACCACATGATCTCACTCATTTATGGATAATTAAGACCATTATAAACTGATGAACAGAAATAGATACAGAGGCAGAGCAACATTGAACAGACTGCC